GACACAGAGATCACAAGTAGGCAGAGAGGCAGACAGAGAGAGAGGGGGAAGCAGGCTCCCCACTGAGCAGAGAGCCCGATGCGGGGCTCGATCCCAGGACCCTGGGATCATGACCTGAGCTGAAGGCAGAGGCTTTAACCCACTGAGCCACCCAGGCGCCCCTCAAACTTCCTTTTTAAAACTGGAATTAATTACAGTTAAATCCTGGGACTTCCATGAGTTTTCTTTCTTTTGAATTATTAGGCCTAGAAGGCCATTCTTTTTCTACTTTAACTAAAAATTTTAATCATCTTTAATCCTTCCTGATTATAGATACATTATAAAAAACTGAAAATTATAGAAAACTAGGAGGGAAAAACAAAAATCACCCAAAATGTCACCACCCAAACAGGACCAATTTCAAACTTTTGCATACTTTATCCCATTCTTTTAATTACGCATATTTTAAATTTGTTGACATAGTTGGGACTCTACTACAACATCTGCTATCTTTCATTCTGTTTACTATTTATTATTTTTCCTTATTGTTTCTGAAAAACTTACTGAAAGTTGCTCAAAAACAAGTTTAAGCTGTTACATAACATTCCACGATAAGGATCAACATTTATTTATTTATTTGTTGAAAGGCTGGGTTGGTTCTGATTTTTTGCAATTGTTCAAAATGATTTGCCTATAGCTCTGAGTCTTTCTTTAGGGTAGATTCTTTTTTTTTTTTTAAAGATTGTATTTATTTGTGTATTCCTTTATTTATGTATTTATTTATTTAATAGAGAGAGCATGAGTGAGCAGGGAGTGGGGCAGAGGGAGAAGTAGACTCCCCATTGAGCAAGAAAGCCTGACGAGGGCCTTGATCCCAGGACCCCTGACTCACAAGGCTGGATGCCAGGACCCTGGGATCTTGACCTGAGCCTAAGGCAGATGCATAACCATCTGACCCACACAGGTGCCCCTCTAGGGTACTTTTTTTTTTTTAATATATTTTATTTATTTATTCGATGTAGATATCACAAGTAGGCAGAGAGGCAGGCAGAGAGAGAAAGGGGGAAGCAGGTTCCCCGGTGAGCAGAGAGCCCAATGTGGGGCTCGATCCCAGGAACCTGGGATCATGACCTGAGCTGAAGGCAGAGGCTTAACCCACTGAGCCACCCAGGCGCCCCTCTAGGGTAGATTCTTAAGGAAGAGAGTTATAAGCCAAAAGCTGTATGTTTCTAGAAGTCTCTTACTGCATGTCCCTAAACTGATTCCCAAAGGACTGTCAAATGCATAAGCTATGAAAAATTGCTATGATTTCCATTTCTATACCTGCAAAATGATTGAAATACTGGGTTTTCTCAAGTGCTTCAATGCCAAGCTGCATAACATAGAACAGAAAGGACTCAAAGTTGGGAGTCAAAAGCACCAAGATCAGGTTACAGCTTTCTTTTCTCTTCCTGGATTACCGAAAGCATAGCTCCTCAGCAAGGCAGAAGAGTTTTCCTACAGGAAAATTTCAACCCAAAAAGGACATATCAAAATCCTAAGGTGAGAGCAGATCTGGGCAGCAGACTGTCCCCCTAAATCCAGCCTGCAATAAGGACCCCTTCCCTGATGAGCTGCAGCGCTACGTCACAGTACCACAACCTCAGAAGTAGCAATCTGAGGGTAGCTTTTAGGAAATACAACATAGGGTCCTCCGTCAAGTGGAGACTATGGATTTACTTGGCCTGTACATCAAATGACTGTACTTTCTCATATTTATATATCATTTCCTCAAAAACCATTATTCACTCAGCACAGACTACTGATTGTGGGAAATCCCAAAGAACAAGTAAGGACACCCTCCCTGCCTACCAGGCAGTAGGAAATGCTGGGCGAGGATAAAAACAGAGCAGCACACAGGCTGGGCAGCTGGGAAGAGATGAGCCCAGACACAGGCAAGGATGAGCAAGAAACAAGGAGGGGATGAAAAATGCCCACCAACCACCCGGAGCCCACACTCTGGTTAGGGATAA